TTCCGTGGCTGACCTCTAGTATGCCGACTGTTGTAGAAGCATGACTATAAGTTTGCAAGTATCAAATGCGCAATAGATAACTGATGTACTTCCCTACTGTCGATATATATGAACGTGAATGAATAGTAGGATGGATGGGCTTACTGGTAGAATACCCAAGAACGACTGTCATCATAAAATGGTTCCGTTCAAAGATGGACGTGGAATGCAGAAGTCGGCGCTCCGACGCACCTCAATTCTCATTTTCTACTCGAAGTCCACAACCAAGAAATGAAGTCGATACAAATCGTGCCCTGTGGTTCAAAAATGATAGAATTAGATCTCATGAGGAAGTTGCGAACTATCGGTATTGTATGAGAAGCAAAAAATGGTATGAGTGCACCCCGATTAATTGTTACGTCTATAGACAACCAAAGATGTTCCGGTCGTATTTTGAGAGAACTCATATTCTCCTATAAAGAATTGATGACTGAAATCCTTGCGAGTTGAATTTGCTGCGGTCTCTATCTCCCTGTTTAAACCGTGAATATCATTATAACTTTGACCAACTGGAAGGAAATGATATTCACAAATGAAGGGTTATACGCCTTCCAACAGCGCTGTTTTTGAAAGAAAGCGAAGCGATCAATTACAGGAGGATATACGACTGATTTAACCTACCCCACTCCACGAGTCTTGATGAAAGCGTATGATTTATCATCCAAGAATTGGATTACGAACACCCCGTCCGCATATGTGTAACCACTCGCAGGATGTATTCCATGACCTGCACCCGAATGCCTGACAATACTCGCTCAGTTCGAACACGACGCAATCAACTTTGCTCGATGCTCCCATGTGTGCATGAGATCATGTCTTTCCTCATATATTCACCGACGGGATGCAAACCCTTATCATATAGCAAAGAGTTTTCTTCAACATTCTTACACCATGCAGATCTTATATCTTACTGTACTCTCACTCAGTGCCTTTGGCCACGTCGCAGCTGTCCAATACACATCGTCATCTTCGGGTTCAAATTCGACAACAATATCTACACCAACAACCTCACAATCATCTGGATCGGCACCTCCTACTTTTGAATTCTTATTTGCAGGTCAGATTCCAGAAGCCGGTCGTTTCTGCCTCGATGGTCCTGTCGGAAGGAGAGATGATGTTCCGTTTGCGAAGTACACTTCTTACTGGTTCATAACATGTATAGCATCTGATCTGTTATACTTTTGAATCACAGTGGCACCTTGATCGATGCAAATGGCACAGAGGTCCTGCCGATGACCTAGTTACAGCAACTGGAAGTTTCAACTACTGCAGACGACTGTTTGATGTAGAATTGATTGAAACTTACTTGTACATTTCAAAAGCATATACAACCACGAATGCTACCAGTAACAATGATTCTGTGTTCTGGATAATACACGATAGTTCGTCGTGATTTGACAAACAATTAAAAGGTTGAACGAAGTTGCCATGGCCATACGGTTCCGAGTCAGTGACGAAGGCATCGGAGTTACGTAACCTTGTGCTCGTTTAATTCTGTTTCGTTTCTCACCGGGTGCAGATTACCCTGATTAGATTTCTTCCTCACACATGAACACACAAACTCGGAAACATGAACGCAAACAACCATAATGTTTGCGTTTCTCTGTAGCAATTTGCTTCTCAATTACTCGTACATAGGATAGCGCTGAAAAGGCGCTACTAATTGTAACCAACACTTGGGTAACATGAAATTTCTTATCCTCCATGCGTTACTCTAAAATTTACTTATATTTCTATCTCGCTTTCTAGTGAACAGGATATAGCTCGGCACGCATTCGCAAAAATCATATTGCACACAAGTAGTACCGTGGTGGGACCGTGATACATATATACCGCTGAGTCTTACAGGCGCGCGGTTATCACCATCTGTCATGAACACACGGCTCAGGTGATTCTGACTCCTTCAAACCTTGCTGTAGTATCACACGGAGTGAACAGGATCCAAATCAGAGGAAGGTAGACAAGCAGGGACAATGCCCCTTCCTCATTAGCTTAGCAACCTTCAAAGTCGACTCTCTCGTCGACCACTGGCACCCAACCTACGAGACCTGCTCGTGCCAGGAAGCGAGCTCGCCCATAATGACGCACTGCAAAATCATTCATATCAAGTTACCTTCTAACGCTTCCGATACCCACAAATTCTCCAAGGTGTGTGATTCTCACGAAAGACGGAGCTCTCGTATTCAAATAGGACAACTCTTGGCTGCGTTGTACTAGATCATCTTTTTTGTGAGAGCAGAACGTACAGATGGGGATTACAACAAGCACGATTCTTTGGTCTTCAAGGTGAGTCGTCTTAGCTTCCACATTGGTATATAGCTCTTCATCGTCGTTTCACCTTACAGGCTGCAAACATCAGTCAAGGTGAGCGGATCTTTTTTCTCAACAGAATTTGCAGATGCCAATCATGGGACTATGTATAGATACGGTAACGTTGGAAATCGGAACTTCGTAAGCCTTCATTCCTATTCGAAGTCATTATCTTCACCTGTGACATATTACAGACTGGGCGTAGCCTCCGCTAGTATCTCGGACACTCAACAGGTGACACTGATCAGTACGCGATTATTACGGGTAGGTCTCCAGTACATTGAGTTGTCCCTATTTTTCAACGCTGAAACGAGGACAGAATGGATATTACGCGAAATACGAGCGTAACCATGCATGGTCCGAAACTGTTATTCTCCCCGAAGACCAAAGTCAATCTGTTGCTGCTCACAATCAGACACAGATTCCACAGACTTTCGCTTTCTGTAAGTTGAATTTTGTAGTATTGTTCAGCCAAAGCTAATCGAACCTTGACAGGTACCACTCATGTCCCTTCCGGTCAGCATGATAACGACTTCATACCCTTCTCCATTGTAGAAAAAGTCAGGTCCGTGTTTAAACCTATCTCTTAGTTGACTGACATTTACCAGACATGCACTAAATGTGTAGATCGAACACTCGAGTCCATGTGAAAAACGTCCTTCAGCTTGAAGCTTACGTCGTCGATGCAGATTGTAGAGTGGAACCTAAACGTAAGGCTCGTCTGACTCTTATTTTATCTGTCACTGAATTTATATTGCATCCTCAGTCGGTGTTCCGAAAGACAAAGTTAGAATGAACTCGACGAAGGTACTTGATTATTACGGAAGCCCGTGGTCAGTACGAATTGATAAACTCCCAGCGGTAAAGCTAGCTTATATATCTGCGTATTTTCAATTCTCTGACTAACCACTTTTTAGGAGTCTGATATGGAGGTGTATTTCGCTGCGAATGGAACTATTCAAATCCGAAACGCGACACCTAGTAGATCATCTACAAACGACTCAATATCTGGCGGACCATCGGGGCAAGGTTCTAGTACACAAGAACAATATGTCTATCATAGAGTTAGGTACGATTCCAATCCTTCATCCAACAATGGTCGTACAATCCGTCAAGATGGATTCAATATCTTGAATTACCAAGAAGGTGCCGAGTGTATGCCAGTTCGACCTGATATCATCGCAAGAATGAGATCGGATGACCCGCAACTCCATAATAACCGTCCTAATGAAGCGCCTCCACTAAGGAACCATGTATCAGAACCCTATTTTCCCCAACCCCCTCTAGAATATCAATCGCATTCGCGGAATACACAAGTTCCTCCGTTGTCTACCACTGGTCAGAATCCCCGTGCTCGTCCTCCGCCACTGCACCGTAACGATTTCCACGAGTACACCCTACCGACGATCCAAGACGCTCAGCCTCCACTTCCCGATGTTCGAGAGTGCTCTCGACGAGAACATCGTCAATTTCCAGAGTACTCGTGTCACGATTGTGTGGCCTTCATCCTTCACAAATGTGGCGATAGAGGTGAATTATTGCAACACATCAATCCACAATGGCACGCTGCCCCCGTTCGTCATTCCTCTCAATACACCAATGTCAAACCAACTTTCACCCGTGCTCAACTCTCTCATCGCGTTCGTTCCGCTATTGCGGAAGGAAAATCAGATCCTCGCTATAATAGGTTGTTGACCAACACTGTTGAACGTTGGCTAGCAGAAGACAACCTTCTCACTCCTCCTATCGATATTCCGACTCCCTATCTACCTTCTCGACAGAACGCGATATACCCTCCTCTGTGCGATGATAATATCTATGGAATTGAACCATCGACGATTCCTCCAGGCGCTTGGGGTGTGGAACCAGATGGCAATCATGGAATCATCTATGATGACCCACAAGAGGTTTCATCCCGAAGCAGACGAGGAGCTTTACCTCTCGATCATTCATATGCAAATATACCATATAGATCGCCAATTTTGCCAACCAGCAATCAATTATTTATGTTTCCGGACAAAGGTATCCAAGAGGAACCTCGGAATATTGACACGAGGGAAAGTTCACTTCCTGATACTCCTCCGTATAGTGCAGGCACTCCGCCTATCGGGCATGCTCTGCAGGATTGGAATTGCTTCCGCTTGGCCATGCCGACTCCTTGATGTCCTCACTCGCAGTCTTTCCCAGCTTCTGTTACCATTGATATTTGTGTAAACTACTAATTGTTTCCTTTCTTTCTTTCTTATCTGTCTTTGTATGCTTTGTAGAAATAGAACTTCGATATCTAATATTTCAAGTTAACCTTGCAATTGTATATTACTCATGTAACGTATCATTTTTGATTGGGATGTTTTGTATGTGAATATAGTGCTATGAAACATTTACGGTCGTCGTTTACATGAGCATTGTCCGGTACTATCACGGCCATGAATCCGAACAGGTGTATGGAGAGATTTGTTCCAGTTGCAAGCTCTCTCTCTATGGCATATAATGAACTTGCTGACCATAATACCTACTTATCTTGATACAACTCAAGCTTCTCATTGCTCGGATCCACTACAACATTTGGTCTGAGAAAAAAAAATGGTGGATCCTTAATGTTGCCTCTGAATCGAAGAACGAGAAAAAACAGATCGTAGAGAAGGTTGTTATTCGGATACGGGGAATCGAACCCCGGGCTATCGCGAGACATATGGGCTTTATGAGAGGCGATAATGTTAGCCACTACACCATATCCGACTTATTATTCTTAGCGAACTTATCTCCTTGAAGTATTGTGGCCACTTGGACTCAGAACACGTACTCAAGTTATTTCGTGGTTTGTGTCTGTGGTCTCGGGCAGTGGTCACTTACAGGGTAGTATGCATGAACATGAACATACTGCGTACATTTATATTATATATGATGAGTCTAGTAATACAAAACGGCATAATTTTGCATGTATGGCATAGGTGGTCGCATAGAACGTCGATGAGCTTGAAATACTACTTAAAAAACAATAAGGATATGAACAAGTTTAAAATGTCAGGGGAATCTTATTAGTTGAATATCAGATCAAAAAAAGAAGTGCTAAATGCTACGGTCAGCACGTCTTGTAGCTGCTACCGGGCGAGAAAGAAATGAAATGCAATAAAAAAAACCTTCAATTCCTGAATGAATGTTGGAGGAGTCTGAATGGTAAGCTGAGGAACGATAGATATCGGCACCAGCCGTTGGGTTGTCGTTGCCCTTCCTCCGGTTGAAGTTCAGTTGCAGGTCTTTCAATCCAAGGCTGTCCTCTGGATTCCGAGATGCTGACATGGGAAGAGTAGAAGTTATTACAGGCATAGAGTGTGTTTTGATCATTCCATGCGAAAAGGGAGTTCTGGTTCTCCGAAATATGAAGCGTCGGGATGGTCCAAACTTGGTCATTTTCATTTCTGATAGTCTGGAGGCTAGGAATAGCTTCATTCAAACGCATGCCAGCTAAGAGATTATGAGCACCGTCACCAAAATGTTACTTTACAAATTTGCTCACCCTTGATATGATCACCGTTCTCTTTGACAAGATACGCTGAGATGCGAAGATCATTCTTGATTTGTGCACCTTCCTTTCCGCTGATCATTCCATTTTGTGAGCCCTCAAGTATAGGACGACGACCATAAAATGCTACTCACATAACTTCACCCAAGATGTAAAACGGGGAAATCTCTGTTCTGCCGTCCGGCATCTGAATAGCAGTACCTGGACAATGAACTGAGATTTCACGGTGTACAAGATTTGCAGACAGGTTAATACCTACAAATTGCGATGTCATCAGAATTTTTCCCTCTCTCTATCGTGATAGATTCAATGTGTTTTGGGTTTCTACCGTTGGATGCCAGCGTACTGCCGTTGACAATGATACATTCGGTATCCTGTTTTCAAATTCAGTGGACAGGAATAACCATGTAGATAAACAGACGCTGGTACCTGCACCTCAATCGGGTTGCTCAACGGGAAAGGATGTCCTGCATCCCTTGGTACCGCTGATAGTTGTAAGCTGAAAACATGTTAGCCTGAGGTATAAAATTTTAGCTTTGAAGCGTCAGACTTACAAATGATGCCATTTGACTTCGTATTCTCCGTCTGAAGATATAAGTGTCAGAACCAAAAGTCAGAGCAGGATATAACTAAGTTGATTCGCACCATAGGGTAAATCAAACACCTTGACCGCACGCTTGCCATAAGCATCTCGTATTCAACGTATCTTGACAGACGACTTACCCTCCATATGATCTCGTCGACCTTCGCACCATTGCACAAAGATGACCGCAGAACTAACGCAATCTGTCACCCCAATTTTCAGCCTCGTCAGCCTTCGGGAATGGAAATGAGTGATACAAAATTGTTATTCACCTTAGCAGATCGGTCTTTCCCCGAAGCTGAGGTACTCCTTCGACCACTGATAGCGATTCGATGCATATCGGACCGGAGTGAAGATACTGGAGCTGGGAATGCAAAGGGAGGAACGGTTAGTATAGACTCAGAAGAGAAGGGAACGAGTCATACACGAGTTGTTCATTTCCACACACAAGTCTACAAGTGATTAACGCAGCGCCCGGATGGAATGAACGTCGCCTCTGCGACAATCGAGGATTATGACAAGTAACTGATGAAAACAAAAAGGATTGTGAAACACGCTGAACGATAGAAAAGCGAGGTAAAATATTGTAAGCAGTAGTAGGGAGTTATCAGTCGAGATGGGCGTTGGAAGGGAAACAGGTGGTCGGGTCGTGGATCTGTCAATGCATAACATCCTTGATAATATAGGTCAGCGAGACTTTAGAAAGATTGAATGTTGCATCATCGCCATCCTGTCGCAAAAGTCATTAGCCCGTGTCGGTCGCTGCACCGCATCTCCCGACTGGACAAGCTGAAAGAGTACAACCCCATGTCGGGTTCTGTGAGTGAAGGGATAGGGAATGCGATCATGTCGTAGGATTTAACGGCATGAAGCTGTGAGTATCCTTCCTAACAGTATAGGGATGTGATAAATTCCGACCTTTAGGAGGAGACTATTCCTTTTCGAGACAGACGTACCGCCATCGTAAAAGATATGGGTTGGGAGTAGGATGGCTATAGAGATGGCTATACGAGTTATCGGGGCGTCTGAGTTTTGCTATGTTTGAAAAGACAGGACAGTTAGCTGAGAAGTGCTCAAAGAAGGTAAAAAGGTGAAGAAGGGCCAACCACGAAGCATTTGAATAGACAGCGGAGACGCGGTGAATAGCTGAGACGTACACGCTTCGGGTAAGGTGTGAAACGCCAATCGTCGTCTGTGTTTTCTGGGAAGGAGAGAGGCGTCGAACTGGCGTTCAATACTGGTCCACAAGGGAGAGGGCAAATCAATACAGTTCAAAATATATCGAACAAGAGTATCCGGAGCGAACTTCACATAACGAATCCGTACAGAAACCAGTCATAATCACTCTAAATAAAACATAAAAACCAATCAGAACTCTTCAGAACTTGAACTAGAAGAAACCAATCTCAACGTCGCATTCGCAGACAGGCCTAATTTCTTCAGCGTTTCCGATCCATCCACTGAAGCGCGCTTTCGAACGCGAGACATGTTCTTCTTGACATTGACGCGCTCCTTGCCCCTCATGTTGTCAATACCGTTGCCGTGATTCTCGTCGAGTTCCCATCGGACGCTATTCCTCTTCAGCCTCTTAGGTACAGCCGTTGATTCCGTTCCAATTTTAGAGGCAAGTAGTGGCATTGATCCAGAAGAAGCGTCACCGCCGACTTGATGGATAGGTCCAAAACAATCTGTATCATTGAATAGTTCCAAGGCACTTGTACTAGCCGCCTTCGCTTTCATCGGTCCAGACTGAAACCCGAATCCAAGTCCTGCTTGAGCAAGCGTAGATCTTGAAGGTGGTCGGGGCATTGTCTTCACCTGGATTTTGTTTGGGCCGTTGTTATCCTTGGTATCGAAAGGCTTGGAAACATGGCATCCCAGATTAAGGTCCCACGTACTTCCATACATTTCCTTCATCACGGCCTCCATAGCGTCTCCTTCGCTTCCGGTCGAAACAGGTCGTCCTTGTATGTCTTCGGTACTAGATTTCGCTTTGATATTCTTCCCAACAAATCGTCGACGAAGATTCCCGGTAAAACCATCTGCGAGTAACCCAAAAGATACAGACCTGGAAGCCTTTGGCGTAATTTCAGAATCCAGCTGATTGGTTGCTGCATCACTCCTAGGAATAATAGAAGTCATTGAGTCGGCATTGTCCCGCTTGAAAGGGAAAGTGAATCCTATTCCGTTTCCAATCTGTTCGATACCCTTTGGAAGGTCTAAAATCGGTGTAGGCTTCATGTTGAAAGGAGGAGGTGTGGTAGCCGGCGGATTTGGAGTGGAGGAAGAGCGAGGGGTTCTTGTCTTCTTCCGAAGCTTATTAGGGGCAAAGGGACTTGATGACGGTTGGTCCTCGTCGTGGATATCTTCATCATTGCTTTGGCCGGAATATTGAGGTAGAGCTAATGAAGATGAGGTAGCCTGTGCTCGAGGCAGCCTTAAATTCTTGAGAGGCGACCAAAGAGGCAAGGCGGGCAGGGGAAGCGTCTTTGCACCAGAATCAGTAGAAGCCTTATTCGGAGATACCATGGGAAAACAGTAGGAGAGGTCTTGAGAATCCGTCGAACGATGAACATCCCTAGGCGATAAAGGAAGGGAGACAATCGTATCCGAATCAAAGTTCAAGCTGGCATATTTGCGTAGACCAAGTCCTCGGGCTTCATTAACAGTTCTGTTTAGGGAGTTATTATTCGAAGGTTGAGAGACAGCAGCCCAAGAGTTCTGATCGTACACTGAGGAGTGCGTGCGAGTTGCATCAAGACTAGAGACAGGACAATTCCTGGGAGCTGAGGGGCTACGTGTCGGAGTCAGGTCAAAGCTGCCAAGGTCCATTGCGTTTCTTGAAGGGAGTATCAGTTCGCCAAATGAAGTGCAAGACATCGAAGACTCCGATGATATACTGCGAGAACGATGTGATTGCCGCAGCGGTTGAAGTCGTGTTTCTGGTTCATGTAGCTCCACTTCTTTCGATGATTTTGAACTGCGAGAGTAGTCAAAATTCTCTAAATGAAAATTTGTAATCCTATGCTCGCCAGATTCTTGTGTTGCGCGATCTGAATCCTTCATCAAATCGAAAGAATCGAGTGATGCAGGTGGTATGGGACCTAAAGACACGTCATTAGATACAATTACCGGATTGGTCAGTTATGTTCACCGTTAATTTCACCGTTAACATCGTGAAGTATCGTGTTCCAATCGCTACAACGATATAACTATGAGAATAGACCATCTGAGAAAAAACGATACACTTACATGTTTGAGAAATAGCCATGGGATTTGATACCATCTATGGAAGGTCGAAGACTGGGATTACGTTGGAGACACTACAAAGATGAAGTGATAAATACAGATATACACATTTGTGCGTGAAGCTCACTCGTTCAATGAGATCCACCGCGGCGAGATTCGCATCTGCAGCAAGCAGCGCTTCAGAGCGCAAAGTTGCGTGCAAGATACACGATCTAAGGTGATTATACTCATTGGTTTTCTCAAGGAAAGGGTGCTGAAAAATCAGGGTATATTAGTCCCTAGACATAACAGCCAGAAAGACGGAACAAACCTCGGTAGTAAACATAAGAAAAAGTATGATGCCGACTCCCCAGACATCAATTTTACCATCACGTTCCCAACCAA